CTGCTATTGCCATGCTGGCTGCTACTTGGGCTGCTTCGCCAGGTGGCCTCTCCATGGCTGTAGTGTCTGCTGAGGTGAATGGACAACCCGTCAACACCCTAGTAGCCACAGGAAGCTTTTAGAGCTTTGTGAGCTATGACATCACCGCTTACCACGACTGATAGATGGCTTCTACGTCATTATGTTCTGCATTCCATTTTCAGACATAGACGTCACTGCTGGCCAACAACGATTCGTGACGACAGAGCACAAAAAGCCAGCAGATGCCAGAGGTGCCCCAGTGCAAAAGGCGAATGCCCCGACCGGTACAAGATCGGTGTAGTGTGCTTCTAAGAGCCTTTAAACTCTGCTCTGATTGGGCGTGACTACCCAGTGAACTGCAGCGCACCAAACAGGTCCTAGTAAATATTGGCGTTCGCGTAAATATTGGCTAAATATCGTTCACCAATTTCGTTGTGACATTGGAGATCGCAGGCTTCTAAAGGAATCAAACTACGTTGGTGCCACTAGCACCACACTTTGAAGGCGGTTTACGATGCACTTGGCTGACAGTGCTCCAAAAGAGCGCATGCGAAAAGAATACGGCCGGAACATCAACCGAAACGACCTCAGCAGAAACACTACCATCAAAACATCATCAAACAGGAGGAAGCCTTATGTTCTGGAGGCTGTCACGATCAACACATCGTCACCGGAACTAAAAAGGCAAGCCAATCCCTCAGTTACCCTTCACCTCATTTAGACGCGATCGATACCATCCGTAGGTGGTAAAACTTACCATTCAGCGCGTGTCTTATCGCTTGAATCCTTATGCTCCTAAGCCAATCACCTAATTTAGACTCTATACCATTTGGCGATCGAACTGAACTTGATGAAACTTAATTGTCATACCTTACTAGCTATACCAAACTGCAATATGTAATCATATATTAGTCACTTGTATGCTACGTGTGTGTAACTTTGAAAATGAAATGCGTGATCCTAAAACGTTAATACAATAAATAGATGCCAAATATCGGCAAGCTACTTGTCAGTCTCAATGATGAGCAGAGAGCCATAATCAGAAAACTCAGGCAAGGACAGGAAAAGCTTATGAAATGTACCTAGACCAAGGTCTTTTAGAACACCTGCATATTTGAATATATATATATATATATATATATATATATATATATATTCATATAATGAAAGATGCCCAAATATAACTATAAAGTTTGCTTAACGTTTCATGAAAAGTCTAGCCGATGTATCGTAGGCGTGATGCGTAGCATAATGTATCTTACCGATATCCTTGCACAAACCCGCATCTTTTCAAAAGTCTGTGCCCAATACAACGCGTTACCCATCTCATATGGGCAACTGTGGGCGTGTCTAGTCTGAGATGTCATCAAACTGCGGTTAGACACATTTCATTAGCAGTTGGAAACGACTACAAAAGTCGACATGCCTTCCTGCGCATGGCTGATGTTATCCAGCTGTAGGAAGCACGGTCCTGCTAACATTGCCATTGGAGGACTTGTAGGTGATGAGGTTTGATGCAAAACGGTCTCGATACAGGGCCGGACAGGTGAAATTTCATCTGCTTGGAAAAATAAGCCATGCAGCCAGGATTTCGCCTAGGAGGTGTCGAATCATATCATTCGGGCCCTTTCAGCCTCTTCGTCGCTTGGAGTCTGCTTATGGCTTGGGACCTTTTCAGGCTTGGAATCTTTCTTTGCTGCCTCGGGTGTCCGTTTAATGACTGCCTTAAAAGCCTTACGGTTCTCTTAAACTGGCAGAGTACTGAAGTATCCGGCCTCATCCCACCCTCCGCCCCCCGTCACGTCCAGGGATGACTCAGCTCCAAAGTCCCCTGACTTTGCCACTGAACGCAGCATTTGGTAAATGCTTGTGTTGAGCACCTGCTACCAATTAAAAGAAGAAAACATCAGCCATGTCAATCCGAGATAACTCAGATGTTCTAAAAGCGAATGTTCTGTTCTGTTGTTCTTTGACAGAGACGTCTTGAATAGTCGCGAACATTTGACAACAAGAACAAATATCACTCATTTCCACACGTGTTTGACTTAGTGCCGTGCAGTGCGGCCGGGTAACATTATGAGCCCGAGAATGTGAAACTTTCAGCGTGGCGCAGGCGGTGAAATAAAGAGGTCACCGGGTCATGGGAATCCCACCATCATATTCAAGTAAAATTGCGCCGGGAAGATTAATGGCGGCCGTGTTTCTAAGCAAGGGATCTGGTAACTGGATCGCCGGCACGGAAAGTGACGAAACATTTGAAGAATCTTCTCACGCAACCACGGCCCTGAACCGACCGTGTCCGCCACGCTTTTGATTTAATAATAAGCGTAGATGATTGATGGCGTCGAGCGAAACCGGCGAATGTCATGACGAATTCATTACTCGTGCAGTGAATGTGCAGTGTGAGATTAAGATCAACATGTCAGGAGAAGAAGGAATGCTGTGCGGTGAGCTCTTATGCATGAATGAGACCCATCGTATGACGCATGTGCATATAAATAAATAAATAAATAAATAAATAAATATACATATGTATATATATGTATATGCATATATATATATATATATATATATATATATATATATATAATCACACATATATTGCCAACCTTCGCACAGTACGCAGCACTTTCGAAAGGAACTATAGTGGACTGGATGCGGCTCAAGTGTCAATAGAGAACAGCAGCTCACCAATGAATACGGGGGAGCTAACCGGTCAATACGGGGCAGCTCGTCGATCAATATGGTACAGCTCACCGATGAATACGGGAGCGCTCACCGGTCAATACGGGACAGTTCGCTGGTCAATGCGGGGCAGCTCACCGGCCAATACGGGACAGTTTACCGGCCAATACGGGACAGCTCGTCGGTCAATACGGGACAGGTCGTCGGTCAATACGGGACAGCTCCCCAGTCAATGCGGGACAGCTCGTCGGTCAATACGAGATAGTTTACCGGTCAATACCGGACAGCTCGCCGTTCAATAGAGAGCAGCTCGTCATGAGTTCGAATTATGAGTGTGAGCTCTGACTGTCAACGGAGCCCGAAATGAACGAACTGCAGGTTGGCGCAGGGCTTGAGCTGCTACTGCGCACGGAGTCTGTGGTGAGCGGACTGCCAGGTGGTGCAGGGCACCAGCCCGTGTCCCATCCACACCGTCCGGCTATCCGCAATCTGCGTCCGTCTGTCAGCAGTCTGACGTCTGACCTGATCCATGCGTGGTTTGTCAGTGGCTGCCGGCTGTTCGCGGTAGGTTAGTCTATGGCTGAGACCTGACTGTGGTCTGCACGCGGCATTGCGCCCGATGTTGCAATACACGCAACCACTAGGTCAGTGAAAAAATGTGCACCATTCGGGCCGAAGTGCGCAGTTACTAGACCTGAAGAGCACGGCTGGCTCGTGCGGAGCCGGGGGGCAGGTGTTGCAGGTCGGATGTTGTAACTGCTGCGGTTGGCCGACGCTCGCCAGTCAGACCTGCGGCGGGTGGCAGGTGGCGGGTGGCGAGCGGCGGGCGGCGGGCGGCGGGCGGCGGGCGGCGGGCGCGGCCGGAGAGAGGGTGGGAGGCGCGGCACCGGCCCAGGCGGCGCCGATGGCCGAACACCTCGACAGGGGCCGCCCGCCGCGGCGGGCACGGCGCACCGCGCCTGACCAGGCGACGTGTGCGGAGCGTCTGCCCTCGTATTGGCGCCAGCTGCGGTACCGGGCTTGGCATAAGCCTGACCTCGAATAACAGCCGCAGATGTTACATACATTAATAACCTTCGCAATGTAAGCATTGGACGCTTAAAGGTCGATTGAGTATAAATAACTAGCCTACCAAGTACCGAAAATAGAGCGCAAAGTACAGGCCAGTAGCGATTTTCCGCATTTTCGCCCTGCGATTGTTTGAACACACGGCTGCAGTCAGAGGCGTAGTCAAAGGGAAGCCCGAGGGCCCGCCCCCGCCCCCCTAGACCCGGATTTTTTGTGCTTCACCATAGATGGCTTCCGACAGAATGTAAAAATCGGCGTGATGCGTACCCTTCTGAGTCCCCACCGAGTTCTGGGTCCCCCCTCGCATGTCCCTTGGGTCCCTCCCTGGGTCCCTCCCTTAAAATGTCAAAGCTGCGCCACCGGCCACAGCCCAGTACCTGGAAGCAGGAATTTCATGCGGGAATGCCATCATGCCAACACCAATATCATACAATAATGATCATCGCACGTGGATGGGATATCTATTGCGGGGAGCGAGGGGCCGCATCAATTGCGACAGGAGAGGATCAGGACGCCCAGGGACTCCTCGCATCATCAACGATCATTTTGAAATGGGCAGCGCAGGAACCTGCATTCCAGCTCGCGCACAAAGGTCGCACCTCTGTGAGGAAACCGTAAACCAAGGCCCCTGCCTCCTTGTTGCGGCGGGGCCTCCTGCCGCGCTCGCTGACCAGCTGGCCCAACTAGTTCCATGTTCTGTGCGAAAGCATCACTGGTATTTTGAGCGTTGAGAACCTGACGCCGTTGGGTCGGAGGCCACCACTCCTGTCCCGAGCTTCCCACACTGATCTGCAGCCGTCGCGGAACCTGACGTTGTCGCCTGTGTGCGCGCGTGCGGCATCAAACAGCAATGTCGCGTTTGGGGAAAACACTCGAAAAGGCCTCGCGCCGCGACTGCCGTAAACGAAACCTCTGTGAAAGCGCCGGACTCGCCTATATTTCGGTATCAGCTGGCCTGATCCACTAGGTGGACATGGTGTCTAAACGTTTAGATTACCCGTGTTACAGACCTCAGTGCAGAACATCTCTTCATACGCGGATGGTTCATGCATGCACGCGAATTTGTCCACTGTTTTTTTCTCGCAAAGTGTACGCAAGACACATCACTTGCTTTGGGGAAAGGAACGAAGGCGGAGAATCACCAATTTTCCAACGAGTAAGCCCCAAGGAGTTGGCACCCGCCGGACGTGGGGCGGCTACACCTTAAGGAATGAAAACTCGCAGTCTCTCACTTCGGCGTGTTCCGTGTATTTTGTGTAAACTCATCTATAACGTATGACAAGAAATGTTGCGTTAAACATGGCCGCCAGCGTCGTGACGAAGCACAAAACGAGAGAACGGACCGCAAACGAGGGAAAGGAAACGCGTAAAGCGACTGGCGCCCGCCAATAAACGTCTAAAATGACCCTGGGCCAGCGCTGGCTGCCCGAGTACCGCCCCGTGGCGGACGGCGTGCAGAGAACGCCATTGTACTCTGAAGAGAGGGAGAGCAGCGGTGGAGACTTACGTCGCTACCCAGATACCGTCGGTCGCACTCTATCGCGGCGGCTGCGGCGGCGGCGGCGGCGAGCGGACGACTACGCACACTGCGGCAGGCTGCCGCCCACATCACATGAAGCCCCGTCAGGCTGAACCGGCGCCACACACGTCCCATATTGCCAATAAACGATTAACAGCAGACACTAAGCATCACAGTACTTGACATATCGATAACTGCGCACTGGCGGCGCCGGTGCGTCTCTGCGAGGCCGGCGCGGCGCGCGCACGCGCCGGGGCCAGCGCCGGCGCGTCCCGACCACGCCGCGGCCGACTAGTTGAGGTGGAACCCCTTCTCCTGGGTAGCGGCCAGTAGGCGGTCGCGCATGATCTGCTCGCTGCTGTAGTCGGGCAGCTTCAGGTAGTGCACGCACGTGTTGACGCTGGGGAAGCTGCCGTCGCCGGCGTCCACCTTCTTGACGACCGTCAGTCGGGGGTAGAGGTTGGCCAGGCCGCCAGGCGGCAGCGACGAGCAGCCCGTGGCGAACTGCAGGAACCGCTTCCGCTCCGGGCCAGACATCTTCTCTAGGATGCTGACGAACCGCAAAAAGCCCGGACTGCGGCAGCACAAGGATCACGGTCAGGACAGCCCGCGCACACGCTGGCGACCGTCCCACCGCCAGCCGCCAGTCAGCCCGCCGACCGCCACTCCAGTCCAGCAGCACGGGACGCGTATCCTGGTCTGCGTGTGAACGTCCGCACGCTTACACGCAGTGAGATGTCAGTGAGTGGGTTCGAAGTTTCGTCTCGTGAGACAAAGCCAAAGGGTGCTCCCGCCCCTATCTCAGCGACCAACAGCACGCCACAAAACACAAAACAGAAAAGTGAGCAGCGGCAACAAGCACAAACACGTGGAGGAAAAATGCACGGGCTGCTGGACAAGCCGACACGAATCATTAGCTAATCCACTAGCAGTGTCGAACGTTAAAACCCGTGTTAAGTTGCTGAGTGAACCGCAGAGTTAAGTGTGTGATGTAGTTAACTTGTGTAAAAGTGTAGCAACATGTGAATAATGAATCGCTGCGTAACTTGTGAATGCTGAAAACTTTTTCACATCATACTTAACACCGATATTACTGCAGTATTTGAAAATCACATCATGGGCAGTAAGATATCGACAAACGCGACGGTACAAATTAGCGCACCACCCGACACCGACTCTTGCCACAGTGCACGGGTGCCGACAGGCGCGGGCTGGCGGCGACGACGCACCCCCAGCGAGCGGAGGCGCACCACACACCTGTCCCGAGAGTAGCCGAGCTTGGGCTCTGTGTAGCTGAGAAGGTCGTCGCGGGTCCACGCCGGTGCCTGGTCGCCACACAGCATCAGCTTGGTCTCGTCCGGGCTGAACGGCCGCAGTCTGCGGCGGCGGGGTGGCCGCAGGGTCAGCGGACAGGGGACGCACGGCTCGCCGCGTACACGCGGGACACACACACACATGCGGGCCGCGCAGAGCATACGCCGCACCGCGCCACCCCCACAGGCCAGACAGCCTCTCGCTGAGCGGGCGCCAACAGCCGGCAGCCGTTCCTGCCCACCACCGGTCGGCCAGGGCAGCTTCAGTAAAACCCTGACGCCTCACGGAGTCGACGGTGTCAGGCGAAAGAGAAACGTCGCTACTGAGAACATGTCTCCTCCAAGCCCGTCCACAGTGTCAACAGTTTACAAAACCGGTCAGATCAGCCTGCATGGTCCTATCATCAATATCCCCTCCCAGTACACATTTGTTTACCATCTGCTGAAGGTCCTCGGGTAGCCAATGACTGGGTTCATCCACCATGTGTTCCTGAACATCGATCCGTTCTTTCAAAAGCTTAGGTTGAATGGAATCCAAGTTCACTCACAATGCGTGCCTATGCATTTGCAAACGTAGGCATACTGTGACTATTTAGCAGATGATATTCTCGTTTTGGTTGGCTGTTCTCTCGACCTTAGGTGCATCCTTTTTCAACTGGTGACCTATTTTGTCTGTCATACTTAAGCCCTGAAAGCATGCCTACCCTAAGCCTCTAACCTTGAAGCTCCTGAGGCGACCACCATCCTCAGACCGCAGAACGCCACTCCGTCAGCAAAACCAAACAATCTAGACTACTCGGCAAATCCAAACAAGGCCAAAACAGACACACAAACAGACATAACCTCAGCGAGACGACCGGCCCGGGGCGCTGCGAGGCACCGTCTCACCTGGCCATGGCGAACACGCGGTCGAAGCCGGCCTTGAAGGCGTCCAGCTGGCGCGCCAGGCCGCGGCGCAGGTAGAAGTCGGCCATCAGCTCGACGTACTCGTCGACCGTCTGCTCGGTGACGTCCTGGTGCTCGCCGCCGGGCCGCAGCTCGCAGCTGACGTAGCCCAGCGAGCGCGACGGCGACGGGAACGTCATGGTGAGCGCCAGGTCCTCCAGCCGAGAGGAGCCGTCCACCTGCCGGCCGCGGCCCCGTCAGTCGAGGCGGCAGCAGCGCGCGCGGCACACCCCGCCCGCCTAGCCCAGCCGCAGCCCAGCCGCCACGACTGGCGCGCGCGTGACGTGGGCACGAGGCGCGGCCCAGAGCGAGCCGGTGGGGCCAGTGACGAAGGCAAGGGCAGCGCACAGCCACAGACAGCTCCAAAAACGTCCTGCGCCAGCTACCTAGTGCCCCGATGTCAAACGGTATTCCACGAAGGAGCGTCGACAAAAACAAGAAACAAAAACAACAAAAACAAAAACAACACAAACAGACCTATCGATTCGAGCCAACCCAACACAGAGGATTACCCGTAACGATAATTGGGTGTGTAATATTAGTATGCTATTTGAGTAGCCCGCCTTGCATCATTCCTGCCAACCAGTCGCCAGCGCGTCGGTCGACCCACGGCCGGTTGCAGCTGCCTCGCCATCAGTACGCCGCGAGTGAGCGCGGGGTCGGTCGGCCCACGGCCGGCTGCAGCTGCCTCGCCATCAGTACGCCGCGAGTGAGCGCGGGGTCGGTCGGCCCACGGCCGGCTGCAGCTGCCTCGCCATCAGTACGCCGCGAGTGAGCGCGGCGCTGGCTGGCGGACGACTCACCGTCAGGTTGGCCAGCTGTCGGCGGCGCGCCTCCTCCGACAGCTGCGGATCCTGCAGGATGTGCTGCCGCCGCGAGGCCAGCTGGCGCAGCTGCTGCAGCACGCGCGCCCGCGCCGGGTCGATGACGGCCAGGTCGTCGAGCGTGAGCACGTCCTGGTACCAGGCGGGCGCCGTCGCCGCCGCCATCTTGGGCGGGTCCAGCTCCAGCTCCTTCTCGCTCTCCATCGAGACGAACGACGAGGTCATCAGGTCGTCCTCGCTGGCCGGCGAGCTGGAGCGGCCGACGCCGTCCATCCTTCAGGGCGGGAACGAGTCAGGCCTGGTGCCACCCGCCACACGGAAGACGGCCGGCGGCTGGCCGCCAGACGGCTGCCGAGAGGCGCCATCTCGCGGGCACGACAAAGCAGGGAGTGTGCTCCCTCAACATCAGCTCATCCCTGGCTGATATTCAGACACCAAGACTGACGCAAGGCGATGTGGAGAAGCGCGAAGCCGCCATGTTAAACCCTCAGCGTGCCTCTGAACACCACCCCGAGTGAGCGCACGCCATCGGGGATGGACTGCCCGCGACGACACCCGCCCCGGCCGCCCGACAGGCCTCAGCCGGCTTATCCCCGAACGGAGCCTACCTGCTGTGCTCCTCGGCTACGTTGGCCGACGAGATGAGCTTGAGGAAGGGCCGGGAAAGTGGCAGGTCCACCAGCCGCGCGTCCTGCAGCACCTTGGCCAGCAGGATGCCCAGGAAGTGGAACATGGTGACGGCGCGGTCACACTGTTCAGAGTCCTGCAACACGCCCGGCGACGGCTCAGACACATGCCCCTCGCGCATGCCACACAGTCGGCTGCCCGCACCGCCGCGCTCGGGCGACGTCCCCAAAACAGAGGGGCGATGTGGCGATTCCATACCACACAGACATCGCGACAACGCGCCAGCAGTGCTGAACGTGCCAGGCCCTGCGCCCGGCCCAGGCAGGGTTGGGGTCGGGGCCGGGGTCTCAGGGTCGGCGTCTCAGGATCACGATCAGGGTCGGGGTCGGGGTCGAGGTCGGGGTCGGGGTCGGGGGCTGACTGACCTGCGGCAACGGCGCTGGGAACAGACCCCCGGGCCGCAGCACGTAGTAGTCGGCCGGCCGGTCGCCTGGCGCCGCCGCCTCGACCTCGGCCGAGAGCAGCGGCTGGTCGTCGCACAGCCACATGCACAGGTCGCGCCGCTGCAGCTCGGCAGCCACCAGCGCGTAAAACTCCAGCGTCGGCCCCAGGCCGGTGCCCTCCTCGCCCTCGAACTCCATCTGGCGGCAGCGGCGGCGGCGTAACACCACGCCGGACGGCCATCAAACCGTACGGAGGCAGGCGTACAGTCCGGTGAACAGCCCGGTAAACACGGCCACACAGGAGCGGGACTCGCCACCGAAGCAGGCGTACAGCCCGGTGAACAGCCCGGTAAACACGGCCACACAGGAGCGGGACTCGCCACCGAGGCAGGCGTACAGCCCGGTTAACAGCCCGATAAACACGGCCACACAGGAGTGGGACTCGCCACCGAGGCAGGCGTACAGCCCGGTGAACAGCCCGGTAAACACGGCCACACAGGAGCGGGACTCGCCACCGAGGCAGGCGCACAGCCCGGTAAACACGGCCACACAGGAGCAGGACTCGCCACCGAGGCAGGCGTACAGCCCGGTGAACAGCCCGGTAAACACGGCCACACAGGAGCGGGACTCGCCACCGAGGCAGGCGTACAGCCCGGTTAACAGCCCGGTAAACACGGCCACACAGGAGCAGGACTCGCCACCGAGGCAGGCGTACAGTCCGGTTAACAGCCCGGTAAACACGGCCACACAGAAGCGGGACTCGCCACGGAGGCAGACGCTGATTCCATTCACAGCAAGCCCCCGAAACTCGATACGGACTTGGGAATACGTGGTTGCAGATGAAACCGACCACGATCGGATGAAGCAGATAGTGGCCATCAGCTTTAGGTTGACTCGAGACGGCTCTCAGTGACGTCCGACACCAGCTGGTGGCCGGCTCTCAGTGAGATCCGACACCAGGCGGTGGCCGGCTCTCAGTGAGGTTCGACACCAGCCGGTGGCCGGCTCTCTGTGAGATCCGACACCAGGCGGTGGCCGGCTCTGTGAGATCCGACACCAGCCGGTGGCCGGCTCTCAGTGAGATCCGACACCAGCCGGTGGCCGGCTCTCAGTGAGATCCGACACCAGGCGGTGGCCGGCTCTCAGTGAGGTCCAACACCAGCCGGCGCCGGCTCTCTCCTCTCAGAGCGGTCCGACACCAGGCGGTGGCCACTCACCTCCAGGATGCCCTCTCGCTCGGCGTGGAAGTCCATGACCTGGACGGCCCAGTCGAGCAGGTCGGGGCCGCGCGGGACGCGCACCCGCTCATGGCGCAGCCGGCCCACGCGGAACTCGTGACCGTCGTCGCGGCGCAGAGCGGCCGGGCCGCGCGTGCGCTCCATGGCCAGCTCGCGCTGCGTCTGCAGCCACACGATCGACCTGCGCGCCACAGGCCAGCGAGGCAAGGCGTCAACAGCGCATAGACTGGCACACTGGACAAACGCCAAACACACAGACACGGCGCACGGAGACGGGGGGAGGACCACCTGCATCCGCTAAAGACGCCGGTGTCGACCGGCATCTGAAGTGAGACTCTAGAGCCAGCTGCGGCGGCGGCACGCCACACACACCCATCTCGCGGAAGGGCGCTAAATGCGCCGGCGCCGAGCGCTGGTGCTCGCCGTCGGGGACGCGCCCGTGCCAACGGTCCTGATGAGCCGGCCGTCGGCGCTCGCGCCTGTGACCGCACCTGGACGTGCCGAAGGCAGTGCAGTTGAAGAACATCTGGCGCGTCTCGAACGGAAACAGCATGGGACATTGTCCCTGCAGGCTGTGCGACCAGTCCGGCAGCGCCTGGCAGGCGAGCACCAGCGGGTCCTGGATCTGCTGGCAGAGCTTGTTCGTCAGCTTGCGGCTGACGAACGTCTCCCAGGGGATGTCGAGCGGCGGCTCGTCGTCGGTGTCCTGCTGGCGCGGCCGGCTCTCGCCCACCAGGTGGTACAGCCGCCGCAGCAGGTGCACCACATCGTCCACGGTGCACGGCGAGCCCTCGCTCAGCCGCTGCTGCAGCGAGCTCTTGCGCTCGGCGGCCGGGTCGGCGCGCCGCTCGTCGTCGCGCCGCTCGCGGTACACGATCGTGTAGACGAGCTCCCAGAGCCGGCGCAGCTTCTCCTGCTTGCTGCCCAGCTGGGAGCGCTGCACCAGCCGCTGGACGGCGCTGAACAGCGTGGCGTCGGGCGAGTCAAGCGGAACCTCGACGTCCGGCACGCCCGGCACGCCGGGGCCGCGCAGCATCAGCCGCAGCCGCGGCTCCGACGACGGCTCGTCGCCCGGCTCGCCCAGCCGCCGCGTCTGGCTGCCTGGCGGCGGCACCTGGCGACACCCGAGGCACAAGCGTCAGGCACCGCCGCGGCAGGATGAACACGCCGGCCGGGAAACGCACGTGACGTCACCACATCGGAAGCACGGTGCCGGCCCGGCGTCGCCATCACCGGCATGCACGTGCGCTTCGCGAACCTTCGTTTTCGCTTCGCTTCTCACCCCACCGACATTCACGGCCCACTGAGCCCGCAGAGAACATGCCGGCCGGCCGGCGGCCGCGCCGCGGCTCCGCACCCGCCCGCCGGCCGTCCGCCCCGCTCACCTGAATGTCCTGCGTCTGGGCCACGTTGGTGCGGCCCGGCCGCGGGTCGAAGGCGGGAATGAGCGCCGGACACTGGCGCTTCAGCACGGTGTCGTCGTCCCAGGCGTGGCGGCGGCCAGGCCGCGGGTCGAACGGCTCCTCCTCGCCGCCGCCGCCACCACCGGCCGGCCCGCCGCCACCCTCGTACTCGTCATCGTCGTCGTTCTCGTCGGCCAGCTCGTCGTCGTCGGTGAGCTCCGCCAGCAGCGTGGTGTGTCGGCACGACTCGAGGAAGTCCTCCAGCGATACCTGCCGAGCACAGGACGCGGTCACCATTCGCTCAGTGGGATGCGCTACCCGGACTAAGCGTCCATAAACGGGCAGCAATTCACGGACAATGCAGGCTGTGGTAATGGAGAATACATGCCCATAGTCCCCACTAGGATTGTTCGTATCTTGCAAACTTCTCATTCCAGTGTGTGCATCACCACATATCAGGCGAACGACCATAAAACAGCTTGGGAGCGATTGCAGAAGTGCGAAGTTCACCGGGCACGTGAACATGACAAGCATTCCACAACCAAAACAGTAAAATGCACACTCGCATACACTTGTCCACAATGCTTCGAAAAACTGAAGAGCAATTGGAATACAAAAAAAAAAAAATGGAATAAGAAAACAGAAAGACCTTAAAGACCTTAGAAAGACAGAAAACAGAAAACAGAAAACGCGAAGCTCTTGAGCTTCGCGTCCAACTGTGACAACTACGCCAAGGCGACCGTTCGGGAGTTGTGCTGCGCGGGCGCGCTGTAGCTGCCGCCGCCAGAGCGCAGCGTTCGTTCTCACCTGCTCGCTGTCGGACGAGTTGGACGTGAGCGACATGGTGAGGCCCTGCGTGAGCGCGCTGGTGGCCGTGTTGGTCACCAGCGTGTTGCCCGACGACAGGCTGGGGAAGGACTGTGCTGTCGACATGAAACTCCCTGCGGGCGAGGCCAGACCAGGCGTCAGCGGCACCACCGCCAGCACACGGCGCGCACCCTCCCTCCCCTCACGACTGCACGCGGGCCGCTCGCTGGGCTGCCATGCGCAAACAACCACCAGTCTGGCCGGAGCGGCGCGCTCCAATACCACTTCAGTTGGGGTGACATAGTCGGGTGAGACTGGTGTAGTTTTGCCACCGTATTACCGACGTTACGTTCGTAACCAGGTGTCCAACTAAGCCCAACCCCCTCAAACAATATCTCAGTTACCAGGTCACCCAGCGTATCCCACAAGTGGCGGTGGCGGCCGGGCAGCGGGGCGCTTACTGTGCAGCGGGATGCTTACCAGACAGCGGGGCACTCACCGAGCAGCTGGACATATAGCGGGTAGCGGGGCGTTCACCGACAGCGGGGCACCCAGCTCACCGGACAGCGGGGCACTCACCGGGCAACGGGGCACTCACCGGGCATAGGGACACTCACCTGGCAGCGGGGCATTGAGCGCCAGGCGAGCCAGGCTGCTCATGCTGGTGGTGTTTGGCGCCCGCAAGAACGGGCCGCAGCCGGCGCCGGCGGGCGTGGTGACGGCCGTCGGCGCCGGGTACGCGCCGGCGGTGGCGCGCGACGAGCCGGCGCCGCTCGTGCCCGAGGCGCGCCGCCGCACCATCGCCGAGAACATCTCCAGCAGGCCGGCAGACTCGTCGTTCAGGTTCGGCGTGCTAACAGACATCGACGAGCGCTGGTTGTTGGGCTCGGAGGCCGTGACGGCGGCAGCGGCGACAGCGGCAGCGGCAGCGGTGGTGGTGGTGGTGATGGTGGTGGCGGCAGCGGCGGCAGCGGCGGCAGCGGCGGCGGCAGCGGCGGCGGCGGCGGCAGCAGCAGCGGTAGAGGCGGCCGGCGGCGGCGGGGGTGGCGGCGGTGGCGGTGGCGGCGGCGGTGGCGGTGGCGGCGGCGGCTGGGTGGCCAGTGCCGCTTGGCACGGGAAGAACGGCGCCGCCGAGGTGGCCGGCGGTGTGTCGGACGCGCTGTCCTCGCCGCCCGACAGCCAGTCGGAGCTCTCCAGGATGGCGTCCATCTGCGGCACGAGGCGTCACGTCACGCCCTGTCACGCGCCACTGGCAACTGCTGTCGACAGTGGAGTGGCGCCAGGACGGCATCACACACACGAGACCCGAAAACGCTCCTCACTCATCAGCACCTGGACGAACACCCAGCACCCGTCAGAATAACTGACGCATTAATGTTTGAACACCGCGGGACTGTCTCGCACAGCACGGCCTGCACGAGTACCAGCTTTACTCCTCGCACTCCCGCTCACCTTGTTTCCGAACACCACCCGAGAGAGGACGGAGTCCGTCGTCTGGTCCAGCGACGACATGGCCTCGGCGTTGGCCAGCGTCAGCACGTTCTCCGCCACCGCCTCGGCCGCCTGCTGCGGGACGGAGCAGAGCAATTTCAGGGGCCGGCAAACACGTCCTCAGTGACGAGAATCACTGGTGGCTCATACAGTCGACCACACGCATGACCTCGACGATCCAAAAACGCATGGCCGCGTAATACATTCCGAGCAAGTTGACCACAGCCATCTGGACCCCCAATACACCACCCGTGTGAGCTTTTCTGAGCTATTGGTAGATGTCCCACGCCAATGAGTGACATCTTCACCGCGGCGCACCGGCCGTGCGAAGCCGTCTCCGGCGGCGGCACCGGCGCAGCTTGGTTCGGCGGTCGCCGCGCGGCTGGCCTACCTTGGCGGCCAGGTTGTCGGCCGAGGCGGCCTGCTCGGTGGAGGCCACCGAGTGCCGGTCGTCGGTGGCCTCGGGCAGTGACGGCGTCGAGGACGACTTGCGGCTGGTGAGCACCGACTGGCGCGGCTTGGCGGTCGACGTCGACGGCGGCGCGCCCGACGACGGCGGCGCCGACCCGGCTGACGGAGAGGTCACCTGGGAGCAGCGCCAGCGACGCTGACAGGCGGGCGCCGACACCCGAGACCGGCCACGGTCACACGGAGGACGAGTCCAGCCCCGGCACGGGGGCACACGAGCCGGCACACAACCACGCATGGGACGCCCGCCCACACATCCAGTCATGCTGGCTGGGTTCCGGTCGCACAGACAGGACCACCACCCAGACGCCGGGTCGAGGCCGAATGTAGCGGGCGGGCGGCTGACGCCAAACATCATCGTACGCCAGCATCGACAAGGAGCACGCCGACAGTTTCCTGTCGAGTGGGCCCACACAGTGCCGGACGCCGGCACCCTCCGGCCGGCGGAGCACGCGGCAGAATCCCGCATCGCCAGACCCACCTTGACGACGGCGGCAGAGGTGGCCGTGGCGCTGCCGGACTTGGCGGCCGCCCGTACGCCCGTGTTCGACTCCGGGTCGTAGCCGGGCGCCAGGCATAGGTCGAACTTGCCCTCAGCGCCCATGCGGTACGAGTTGCTGCCGCCGTTGTCCCAGGTCACGTCGATCCAGCCTGCGGCACGCCGGCGGACCGATCAGCTGAGGTTGGCGGGGCCCGTTCGCGCCAGAAACGCGCTGAAGACTCAGCTGTGCACCACGGCTACACTTGGGTAGAAGAGCTGGACAGAAGCCGACCAGCCCAATGAAAGATCGGGTTGTTCACCAAAACGTCACAATCCACGTGACGGCGAGCCTCGCAAGGAGGGCCAACAGTACACCACCGCTCCTTCGGGGAGCGTCGGGTGACGGCTCGATGCGCGCCCGGCGCCTGTCGTCGGTCCTCTACGGAGCCGGGGGTGCCCCCGCCGGCCCGAGCCTGGGCACGGCTTTGCGCCGCTCACCGTTGTGCAGCTCAGACATGCTGGTGCCGACGCCCGGCGGGATACCGTCCTGGTCCCGCCACTTCCAGTCGACGCCACGCACCACGCGCGCGCCCGGCACCATGTACTTGAGCTGGTTCTTGATCTGCGGTGAAGGGACCGGGCAGCGGGTGGTGAGCGGACGCCCGCAGTCGGCGGCGACCCGTGGCCAGACTAGCCGCTCTCGCAGGACACATTCCAGCCCAGTAAACCGTGCCGACAACGGTGACCTCGCTCAGAACGAGTCCGAAAGCTTTTGATCATCCCAACGAATGCAAACGCAGAGCCTATCTAAACTGTCTCTACCGCCGACCATCACTGCACGCTGGCAGTCCATTCGCTCTTGCTCTTGACAGCGACCGACACTCTTCGCCGCCAACATAGCCGCCTACGCCAACCAACACAGCTGCACATTCCCGCCCCACACATGCATGACAAACGAACCGCTCTGGCCCCGACCCCGCAGCAGCGTGCGCGGGTTCCTGCGGCGCGGCGTCGCGCCCGACCCCGCGTGGGCGGAGGCGGCGGCGGCTCACCTGGCGCCTTTGTCGGCGCAGCGACGCTTCCGCCTCGCGCGCCGCCTTGCCCAGGTCGCTGCAGACGCCCGTCACCGTGCCGTACACTTCCAGCCCGGAGAGGCTGAGGTAGTGAGTCTGTCCGGACGCGTTGCGGCCCGTCTGCTGGATGCGCACGTGACGCCAGCCCTGGCGGGGAGCGGCCCGGTCAGGGGAGACGCGCCGGCCGAGACGAGCGCGTCCCGGCAGACGGCGAACAGCACGGGCAGGCACGCCGGACGGCCACATCGGGACGCAGCGTAGAGATGCGGCATGTGGTGCCCGAGCGAGACCGAGCAGCTGGCAAACCAGCCGGAGCGCCATCTCCTCAGAAACAGGCCGTACTTCAGCAACAGCTAGATGCCTCTGCAGTAGCGCCTGTCTATAGATACGTCAGCAAATGTCACCCCTCACAGGCATTTGGCTGCATCCGAGGACCTCCTCCACCGTCGGCCGGGACGCCCGCCGCCCGGCTGGACACACCTGTGTCCGCCGGCGGTGACGCCCGCCGCCCGGCTGGACACACCTGGGTCCGCCGGACCGCCCGTCTGCTCACCTGAGTCTCGTCGGTGGGCGCCAGCAGCGGCCACGAGGCCGTGCTGCCCGGCTCGTTCAGCGACGTGTCCTCGATGTGCATGTACAGCGTGGTCCACGACAGTCCGTCCTTGGACACCTGGCGACGGCAGCAGTCACTGCGTCACCAGCCGGTGCGCGCGACACAGCGCGTGCGGGCACGCACGAGATGCGCTTCACCAACTCCAGAGCGTTTGCAGCCCAGCTTAAGAGCACGCCACCACTGTCACCACTCTCCAAACGACATCACGTCAAGGGAAGTCTTAACACAGCTAATGGCATGCAGCACTCCCCCCCCCCTCCCCCCCCCCCCCCCCCCGCCGAGCCCGGGCCGTGGCGCGCTCCCACCGTCCGCCGGCGCGCGGCGCGCGACGCCCACTCCCCCGTCTCACCTGGAAGACCCAGTTGCGGAGCGCGCTGCGGCCGTAGCCGCGCGCGTGCCGCAGCGTGTAGCAGGTGGGGATGACCCAGAGGCCGAGGTCGACGGCCAGCCAGGCGCGCTTGTCGTCGTTGGTGTGGCAGTTGAGTGGCGTCGGGTCGCGTGACAGCACGTCCTCCAGCCGGCCGTACGGCAGGTTACGGCCCTCCGACGACGTCACCACCACCAGGCCGTACTGGCACGGGTTTACCCACTCGTAGGCCGTCCTGCGGCGGCGGCGGACGCTCGATAAGAGGGAGGAGGCGGCGGCGGCCGCGTCAATGCCATCTCCGCTCACATTCGCTGTGAGAACGTCACGAGCCTTGGGTTCACTGGACATATGCAAGGCATAGGGTCTCAAATCAACCACTGCCGGCAAGCAGCACCTGCCGTCACCAGACGTGATGACCTTGCATCGCGCACCACCAGCATGTCATTCCGCAAATCACAAACTCCGCCCGACACCGGATATGGCTTTCCGCCAACTGCCGAGCCTGACCCAAGCTTCGGCGGCGGTCTGTCGTCAGCCACTCACTTGGCGTTGGTGCCCACCCAGTAGATGATGCCGTTCTCATCGAAGTCAGACTGGTGCGTGAACACGATGCTCGGGCTCTCGCGAATGCGCTTGACGAAGGTGAAGGTGGACCGGTCGTGGTCGTACCACTGCTTGGCCACCTGGCAAGGTCGGCGGGCGGTCAGACTACGGCGAGCTCCGGCGGCGCCGCGGGCAGGCCCCGGCCGGACCACCGTACCGCGCCTGAAGCCGGCCCTCCGGCCGACACCGCACTGACGACACTCAGGTAGCGACTGCACAGCCGTAACGACACCCGCGACCCATCGACATAACGCGACACGACACATGTGGCCCATCGACATAACACGACATGGCGACACCCGTGGTCCATCGACATAACACGACATAGCGACACCCGTGGTCCATCGACATGGCACGACATGGCGACACCCGTGGTCCATCGACATGGCACGACAAGGTGACACCCGTGGTCCATCGACATGGCACGACAAGGCGACACCCGTGGTCCATCGACAGGCCCAGCGCAGAAACCAGTCCAGACACAAGGGCCATGCAAACACATCCGGTACATAACGTGCGTGGACCACCAGAAAACCTAGCGTCCGCATCCATGGTACTTTGGGGTGATAGGACGGATAACAGAGATGTTAACGACGGAGCAGGCCACAGGGCACGGCAGGACCACGGGGGAGTAGGACGCACCTCTTCAGATCGGCCCAGCACCGTACCTGTTTGAGGAGGTAACGCTCGAGCTGGCGGACGGTGACCAGCGGCTCCATCTTGAGGGTGCGGCCGGTGCAGTCGATCAGGCCGGAGTCGCTGGCTGCCCGCTCCAAGCGGAACCGCATCCGCAGCTGCAACACCTGCCGCGGGGGCGCGCCCAGCCGCTCAGGTCGCGGACGGGTGGCACGTCGCAGCGGCATTCCAGGGGCATTCGATGGGCGAGGAGACGGGTCTCGAGCGGCACAATGCCCAAGGCACGACTCACACGTCTGACGATCGATTACACTAAAAGAGACGCGTACATTGTCACTGGTCAGGGCAGTGTCCATCGGACAAAGATTACGATTCGAACGTCACATCCGTTGTCGGCAGCGAGGACGGCTGCTGGCCCGCGGCAGCGCCCGCCGTTCCCTGCCGACACCCTCCCCATCACCCAGCGGAGCGGCCGGCCCAGCTCGGCGCCGGACCCGGGCCGCGCCCGCTCACCTGGAGTCCGCTGACGGTGCCCGTCGAGTCGTAGTTGTAAACCTGCAGCTTCTCGATCGACTCGAGCACGGAGACCAGCTTGCGCACCAGCGACACGCCCGGGTGCTCCTGCGACGCCCCAGCCGCCTCCTGGCGGACAGCAAGAGAAACGGCGTCAGACGCCAACCCCGCCGGCCGTTCAGACCCGCTCCCAGCACCGACTCACCACGATCAGCGGGCTGGCATCGCGACCGAGACCAGACCGGCAAGAGGCCGTCCGCCGCCGGCCGTTCAGACCCGCCCGCAGCACCGACTCATCACGATCAGCGGGCTGGCATCGCGATCGGCACCAGACCGGCAAGAGGCCGTCCGCCGCCGGCCGTTCAGACCCGCCCCCAGCACCGACTCATCACGATTAGCGGGCTGGCATCGCGATTGGCACCAGACCGGCAAGAGGTCGTCCGCCGCCGCCCATCGGCCAGCGGGCGGCGTCGCCGTCGCCACCGCCTCACCTGGAAGCACTGCTTGAAGAGTCGCTGTCGTTGCTTGAGCAGCCGGTTGGCGCGCCGGCTGGTGCGGTCGGGCGAGCTGAGCAGCCGCAGCAGCGCCTGCAGCAGGCCTGACGAGTGCAGCTCGTACGCCGAGACGGCCCGCTCGTCCGACAGCAGCGTGATCAGGTCGCCGAGCGCGGCGCGCAGGATCGGACGCCACTCGTCGGTGCTGTCGGCGGTGGACGCGGTCAGCGGCGGCGCACGCGGCCCGCCACGGATTGGCGCAAAATCCGGCACCGGTCACCGGTCACCAGAGGCCGTACGCCGACCCCCTCCCCCCTCCCCACGCATACACACCTCAGGCAACAGACCGACACACACGCGGCTGGGTGCAAACGCACACGCATTCGCCGATCCCGACTCGCAATCGCCACGATCTGGGCAGCATCTGGGAGCGCCGGGCAATGACATCCCAGGCTATCGCTCAGCGCGACTGATGACACGACGAGACAGGCTGACGCCGGCTCCGCGTCGGCCCGGCGCGAGCGAGCGGGGCGCGGCGGCCGCCCGCCTGTCCGGCGCGTCCCCACACCCACCGGTCAACAGCCGCCAGCTGTTTGTGGCAGGCGCGCTCGATCTGCGCCACGATCGTGCCCAGCTTGGCGACCACGCCGCGAGGCTGGGACTGCGCAATCTTGAAGTACTTCTCGTAGATCTCGCGCGCCTGGGAGCGCACCTGTAGGCATCGGACCCAAAGTCGAGTCAGGTCAGGTCAAGTCAGGCCAGAGCGATCACAGTCAATACGAGGCCCAACGTATGGAGACGACAGAGAACGAAGATTCCGTCGCAACTGCTCTCTGCCTCTCTCTGCTCAGCAAAAATTACTTATTGTGCGGAGATGATTCCAACTGATTTTGCACAGCAACGGCCCGACACCAGCACACCGTCCCCACCTCCGGCTGGCAGTGTTTGCCGCCCGCCTGCCCCCACCCAGCGCCACGCCGCCCCAGACAAGCTGACCTTCTGTTTGACGGCCTCGACCTTGGAGCGGAAGCGCTTGCCCTTTTTGCCGGCCCAGCCGGCCGACAGCTCGGGCCCGAGCGACGTCTCGGCCGTGAAGGTGTGCTTGGTGCCGCGGTTCGACTTGAACAGGAAGCCGGGCAGGTCCTCTCGCAGCGTGGTCGTTTGCTGGCGAGCCAGGCCACACGGCGTCAGCTGGCGACCGGCTCGACACGGCTCGGCTCGGCACGGCACGGCACGGCACGACACGGCACGGCATGCAGGTCAGCGGCCCGGCAGGGGGAGAGAGCGGTCAGAATAGTGCAACTTGTCACACGCCCCACGACCCAGGCACATCATTCGATGATTGAGCCGGTTACGGACGATGACGGAACAATGAATGGCCCGGTGGGCAACAGTCGCGCATCATCTGAACCTCAGAGGTATGAGCCGACAGCGGGCCAGACCACACTCAAGGCTCAACGCGACCACGTTCAAGGTTCTTAAACTAGTCCCTAGATGGCAGCCCAAACGTAACCAAATCGCTTGGCTAGAAAAAGCTTCCGACCACTAAATTCATCCGGATAATGGTCCCACGCGTCGCGGCCAACGAGAGGCGGCACACAATGGAGGAATTGTGATCGAGTATGTTTAACATGCGGACATAATTGTCCACCTAATGACGCCCAAGCTATGAAAACTAGCACACACTCTGTTCTGTCGGATGACCATGACGAAAAATCGCGACGCCCCGCGCTCGTGCCTTAAACTAATGAGTAAGGAAATTAACGAGCCCTGGTGACGCTTGGCTCTGCTGAGATCACTCTAGCTTCAATTTTTAACGGGGTACAGGTCGTCCCACGGGCGGGCAGCCTACTTCGCTGCCTGCCTAGGTGATTGCGATCTGCCCTACTAGGCGGCAATGGGGAAAATACGGGACAACGAGCCGGGGACCTGCGCGTGTGGCAGCCGCCCCGCCTCTCCTCTAGCTGATGGATACGGTCAGAAATCAAACCCCAGCGCGGCCATACGAGAGAATCGGACCGCGGCCCGGAGACGGGTCGGCCGCCACGCACCAGGCAGGAGCTCCCTCCCACCTGCTGTCCGTCGTTGTTGTTGATCGCCAGCTCGCCGTCGCGCCGGCAGCTGAGAGACCAGTTGCCGACCACGAGCCGCGCGGCCGACGGCTGGCTGAGTACCGGCTGCGACGCCGACTGGGGCCGCACCGAGGCGCGCGCCCGCTGCAGCTTCTCCAGGAACTCGCCGCGGTTCTCCGAGCTGTCCGAGCCGCCCTCCGGGCTGCCAGAGCTGTACATCGTGGCCAGCTTGCCGTCCAGGATGAACCTGACGGGGCGGGCGTGCCCATCAGCGCAGCGAACACGCCGACACCATCTGAACCTGAACCAGAGCCAAGCCTGAGCCCAAGCCTGAACCTGAACCTGAGCCTGAGCCTGAGCCTGAGCCTGAGCCTGAACCTGAGCCTGAGCTTCAGGCTGTGCCACAGACTCCTGAACCCGTCCCGGGGGCCGGTCACACACCTGAACCAGCCGTTGCTGCCGTTGCTGAGCTCCAGGGCGGCGGCGTCTGACCAGATGTAGAGGCAGTCGCGGCCACGGCAGATGCACCAGTCGCGCCACTGGTACGCCTTGCCGGGCAGTATTTCGCGCGCGTCCTGCTCCGGCTGCGGCTGGTCACAGGACTCCTCCGGCTGGACGACACAGGCGTCACACGTCACACCACCGTCACGGACGTTCACGGCGACGCTCCGTACCGCTGAGCACCGCTCCTCTGGCTAGACTCCGCAGTCAAATATGGGGCGCGCTTACTATCTAACCATCGCAATGCACTTGGGAGCCGCGGGCGATCTAGGCTACGCCACAACGCTGCCTGTGCCGGCATGACCGCCCGTTCGTCGATGGCTTTTGCCCGTCTCTCACACACTGGCCCAGGGCACATCGTCCCGTCCAACATATGGCCCAGGCGGGCCAACGCTCGCAGACCTGGGACGCTGTGCGCCGCGCCACCCCCGCCCACCGGCCGCAGCCGGGTGGGAGCTACTCACCAGTCTGTCGGCGCACGCTCCGAGCGACTGCGGGCTGGCCGGGCGCGGCTCGCCCTCCTCCTGCGCGCCCGCCATCTGGCCCACTTTCGTGAACAGGCCCAGCCGGGCGAAGTGCTCGAGGAAGGTGTCAGCGCCCTTGCGTAGCACGTCTTCGGTGATTTGGAGCGCCACCGCGTGGCCTTCCTCGTCGTCCTGCGCAGACACCGGGCTCCGGTCACGCGCACGGCACGCGCAACTTCAGGAGTTCATTGTGGGTAGCCAACGAACGAACCAGTACGCGGACGGAACAACAAACCATGCTACATTCGTCCACGTACCGATGCTCGTCTGACATGCTTGTTGCCCTTGTAGCGGCAACATCGTTGTTCGCCATCTGGTTTGTCAGTGACGCGCTGCCAGCCGAGCAAGACAGCCGTCCCCACAGCACTGACACGATACGAGAGCCGCCGAACCACAACGGAGCTTTTCACGTTCTGCATTTTGTGCCGGAGGCAACGGCGAGTGAAACGGATGGTACAACAGCCGGTAAGACCCACACATGGCCGGTCAGCGTCGCCTTGGGATCGAGGCGATACCGACCCTCCACGTGCCGTTCCGGCGCCATCGTATTTCCCGTCGGGACAACGCTCAGTGGCGCACAGCCATCCACTGGTGCATCCCGACAGCGCCCCGCCTGGGTCAGATGACAGCACCTTGCAGATCACGAGTGAGGTCCTCCTCCTGAACACTCACCTCCGCGTCTAACACGACATCGAGTACTTCAACAATATTGCCGGCCAGGTCGCCCTGGCACGTCTCCATTAGCAGACTAGGCGATATGAAATACAGCATCTTGCGCAGCAGGTTCAGTGACGACTTCCTGTAACAGCGAAGGGCGGCAGGGTCAGCCTCTGCTTCCCGCCAGTATGCGCGGAGCCCGCATAACGCACCCCAGTGCAGCGGCGGCAACTGGGCAGGGTTCAGCAGACGGCTGTCACGGCCACGGGCGTCTGGAGCTGTTGACGGTCAGAATAGCAGGCGAGTGGGAGCCCCGACACCACACTGGCGGGTCCGATGGCTCTGGGACGGGTCTTCCAGCGATCTAGATCCACTGACGCCTTCCACGGAGCCGTCGACACGGCAACAAGAGCCGGTGCAGGGCAGAGACGGCGCCCAGTCAGTGCCCACACATGGCTTGTGAACTGACCACGCCAGATTGTAACAGTTTATCCAGTACGACTCAGGGCGACCCTAGTGCTTGTGCACTCGAGATCGCGTTCCGCCAGAGGACGACCTGAGCCCTAATACTCTGATCTGATTTGTCTACGTTCACTAAGCCACAGGGTGTGTCTGGTTCATGCGAGCCTCTTTTGCTTATTGCGTTTTGTCTTTGTGCGCCTCGTATAACAGAATGCCTAAAAGAACTGATTGTGCAGCGCGGCATGATGCTGCTGACAACTGCTGCCAGCCGTTGATGATCAGTGTGCTACCTGCGGTCACATCTGGCCATGATGCCGAGTCAGCTGCCTGCCGCTGGTGGCCGTGGTGGGCCAGTTACCTGACGCTGGTGACCATGGTGTCCCGGAAGGTGCGGCAGAACATGGGCAGCAGCAGACGAAGATAGAGCGGCGCCATTGCAGGGTCACCGCGCGGCTCCTCGCAGCGCGCCGCCTCGCCGGCCGGGCCGGGCCCCGCCGGCACCGGCTCGGCACCGCTGCCGCTGCCGCCGACACCGGCAGGACGTCGCTCCTTGTCGGCCGGCAGCATCCACTCGCCGGGCGACTGCAGGATAGCGGCCACCTGGCGGGCAGATCGGCAACTGAGCACGTCCTGAGATGCGGCCGCCCCAAGCGTGGTACATCTCAGCAGTCACGGACTCAGGCCGCCACCGCGACGGACGGCACACAGAGCGACGACACCGACAGGAAAGCCCGAGCACGGACAAGATAACAGCAGGCAAACGCCATCAGTATAAACAAGCTAATCGTGCCCGAGTCGACATAGCACGTCACTCCGCAGCGCGCTCGTGTCGGTCGGCCGCGCCGCGACGGAGCACCGCACACGAGTGGAGCGGGGCGCTCGGCGGACCGACCTCGCGATGACCCTCGTCGTTGCGCTCGCGCGCCTTGTCCAGCGGCGTCTTGCTGTCTTCGTCGCGCAAGTCGGGGTTGGCGCCGCAGCGGAGCAGCACTTTGGCGATGGCCGGCCGGCCGAAGCAGGCGGCGTAGTGCAGCGACGACGAGCGCTGGCCTGGTGGCGGAGCGGGCCGACCGGCTGGCGTCAGGGCGGGACAGGCGGCCGGCGACGGCTCGGCGGTCACCGTCCAACAGCCAGCGGCCGGATGTGAACGCACACATACGGACAAACGCGTATACAGACACAGCGTCTCAGTGCACCGACGCAGACTTCACGCCATGCCAGCACCTTGACAATTCACTGCGCAGTTAACACGGCCCAGCGGCGTTAGAATCAGGGACGTATTCCACTCAGCATGGCTGGTTTCATTGATCGCGGCCTTGACGCACCAGGAGCCCGTACGATGACCATGGGCAGCTCATTAGCCCAACAGCAGCAGCTCATTGGCCAAATAACATAGATGGTTCACATTCGAGCCATGCGTGAACGCTGCCGTGGGCAAGCTGCCCTCCTTGTCGGGAAGACAACGCCTTTGATCAGACCCGAAGCACGGCGACCGCCAGCCCCCCAAATGCGAGGCTGGTGGTTCTCCTTTGACCACCGACATGACAGAGGAACACGCCAATTGGCTGACTGAGCCAAATTCATGAATATATATTTGCGCTGAATGAACCAAGTTGCACTCCTGTTCCACAGCGGATGGAAACCATCAACGCTACTGCGCGAATCACGTCAAGACGTCTCGGCTGATCCGACCAGACCGAATCGGTTCAATCCCAGTTTTGGCTTGATTCCACGTCAGGTGGCACCTCAGATCGATACCGTCTGGCGCGTCACCTGACACCGGTTCAGCACAGGCCGTTGTAGCATTCCGCGGCAATGAGGCAGCCTGCCGGCACTCGCCACAACGCCACACGGACGGGCGGTGGACGCCGAGTGCGCGGCCGCCGCGACCCGTGCCGTCCGCGCAGGGCGGCGGCCGGCCGGTCTGGCCCAGCCGGCGGAGGCTTGCCGTCGCCGCCGCTGGCCTATCGGGCCGGCGCCGGTCGCGTGCGGGCGGCCGGGTCGCGTGCCGCACGTGACGGCCGCCGCCGGGTCAGGTCACCGGGCCAGACGGGGCGGGGCCGGCGGCGGGCGGCGACGGGACCGGCGGCGCGGCCGGCGCATACAGCACGCTGCAGTCTGGGCGGCGCGCTCAGACTCAGTCCAGTCAGACACCGCCACCGCCACCGCCGGATCGCCCCGCCAGACACAGGCAGAAAGACGCGCCGTCCCGTGCTGGCCATTAAATGAGGATCAGCGCCGACAGCAATGTTTCACGCGCCGGCCGCGGGGACCAGCCGCTCCAGTCGACGACGATGTACGGAAGCTTGCGACACAAAAAGCTCGGGAGGCCAAGGCTGAGACCGCATCTACCGCTGTTGTTGTTTATTGGAGTTTAGGGGCGCGCCGACTGCGGTGGTCATTTGGCGCCCATAACGAGTGCCGCATCTACCGGGCTTGGTGTCCTGGAGGACACCGTTTATCCATGCCGCCGTAGCTGTTCGTCCAGCGGCACACGAACAGCTCGACAGAGCGCCAGGCCGGCCGGCGACTGAGCCGCCGTCCACGGGGTTGGGGCACGGTGCGCAGGTGGGCTGATAACCGGCCGCTGCGCTCGGTCCGGCCCGAACTGCTGAGTCAACGTAAACACGGGCCGGACTCTGGGCCCAGACGGCGCTGGTCCGCTGAACCCGAGCCGACGCCGCGACGCCCCCCCCCCCCCCCCCCCAGCCCACTAAGGTGGCGCTGATCGGTGCCGCTCGCCGATCGTGGGAATCACTCCACCAACAAACACGTACCCGGACACCCCGGACGCCCTGCGTTCAACAGAACCATGGCAAAAGCAGTTACGACAGCCAAAACGCAATTGATATCACGGCGAACAGCTGGGCCTGCCAGTGCCGGCTCTAGGCAGCACTCGCATCGATGGCGGCATCGCGAGCTTCGCATCGGGAACTCCAGCCACTCGCTCAAACCGCCACGTCACCATGCCTTCAGGCGGACGCGGCGTGGCGCAACCACGAGGGCGACGTATTGCGGCTGGGAGGCCAAGTTTACTCCTAGGCCCGTGCTCGGTCGTGTCTCGCACGCAACCCGTCTCAGCATTGCAAAATTCAGCTAGTGGAATGTGCAGGATGTAAAGCATAAATTCATTCCGTGCCGGCATTGCAAAATTCATCTAGTGGGATGTGCAGGACGTAAATATAAATTCATGTTACCCGAATCCTGGCTTTCCGGAAGCTTCCGGACACAATGCGTTCGTGCTAATCCATTGCCCTTTGACCCCGAACTGGGCCATCTGGCCTGCACGGCGCATCTGTCCAGCATCTGATGCGCTTAGACGCTGGGCTGAACACCGCCCGGTCCGATGCTGATTGGTTGATGTTGAAGAAGGGGAGAGGCAACAGGCAGCGAAACGCAAGCCGGGGATGTGACAGCATGAACAAATGTCGGCATCCCCACCACCGAAGTGCCCGAATGCTGGAACAATGTGCCAATGTGCCCATGCCTTACCCCCCGCACACCTGGGAACGGCGAAACCCGCGGACCCGGCCCTCTTCGGGTTCGATCGCCGCGAAGTCAGCTGACTCACAGCCTGCCGTCCCTCGCGGACCTACCGTGAGTCACACACCGACTCTGACTCATGCCATGCAGCGCCCACAGAGCTGAGGTCGTGGACCTGCCTGACCAGCCGCGGCGCAGCTCTGCGGCGCCATCGTGGCGCCATTGCTCGACGCACATGTCGTGCCATGCCGGACACGCGCTACACTGCCGAGAGGGCCCGCTTCGACACCGAGGCAATGGAGGCTTGCACTAGCGGGCCGCTCCCGACGCCAGCATGTCTGGACTCCCCGGTGTTGTGTTGGTGGCGTGTTCCTGGCACGCGCGCTTGCATTTGCACACACCGCCTATTGTGGACAAAACAGTGCCCGCTGCAGCTCGGGAGACCAGTCACAGCGCCGCCGGCGCCCGGTGCCCGAGGTGAGGTAGGCGTGCCCCGGCACGCGAGATGGCGGCGCGCGGGCTGGCCCAGCCGTGACCCACCTCTGTTGACGTCGGCGCCCTTCTCGCACAGGTACTCGACCATCTCCTGGGTGCCGAACGCCGACGCCCAGTTGAGCAGCGTCTGGCCGACGTCGTCCATGAAGTTGACCTCGACACCTGGCGGCGAGGCGGTCAGACTGTCACGAGACCCCGCTCAGGCTGTGATCGGTGGCCTGTGCCGCAGGCTTACACCGCACGCGCTGAGATCACGTGCAGTCTCCATGTCAGTGTTAGCACAGGTCATCTAGTGGCCGCTGGGGGGCATGGCAGCGGTGTCCGCCGTCGCGTCGCTCGCCGTCCGGGCATGGGCCGTCAGACGTGCCGGGTATCCGCTGCGACACCAACAAAAGCAGCGGCCAGACAGGCACGCCCCCGCGCGACACCCCGGCCCAAGTTCGACAGCCGGCCGGAGTCCGTCGCCACGACCGACGGGGGGGAGGGGGGGGGGGGGGCGCCCATCGAGCCGCCACGCCCGGAATGGGGCCGTACGGTCAGTGACCGTGCATAGTCACCGGCCGGCATTAACAGACGATCAGCCGGCTTCAGCCCCGGCCCACAGGTCAGCTTATGGCCTGTCGCGCCACCGGACGCGCTCCAGCGCAAACAAACGGACCTCACCACGCTCGCTGCGCACGTGTCGCTCGCATGGACCGTGTCCGGCGCCCTACCAGATGGCGTGCCACGCGCAGCACAGCCGCTACACATCCCACCAGCCGGTGCAGACCGAGTTCGCAGGCACCGCTCCGTGGTGATGCGTCTGACACCCCCAGAGCTGTGGTCGCCCCGTCCCCACTGAGGTCACGGAGGCCCACAACGACTGAAACACACACGCACACACACACACACACACACACACACACACACACACACACACACACACACACGCACGCACGCACGCACGCACGCACGCACGCACGCACGCACGCACGCACGCACGCACGCACGCACGCACGCACGCACGCACGCACGCACGCACGCATTTTTTTCTCTCCCCCTCGTTCCCTCCCTCTCTCCACTCTCTCTTAGCCAGCTGGAGCAGCGCCGGTCAGATCCGGCGCTGCTCCAGGCGCCGCTCCCGCTTCCCCGGACCGTCAGCGCTGGCCGCGGCCCGCGCCTGACGCCGCCGTGCGCCCCCTCACCGCCGCTCTCGATGCTCTCGATGAGTGCGTCTGTGTCCTTGCTGCGGATGCAGTCGATGAGCTGGCGGTGCGAGCGCTCGCCGGCCGAGTCCATGCGCCGCAGACCAGGCAGACGGCTGGCCGGACTAACGCCCGTCCGCGGCAGCGCGTACCGCCCCTCGAACAGCAGGATCAGCAGCAGGTCCACCAGACGCATCGTGTCCAGCACGCATCTGCGGCGGGCACCAGCGGCGGCGTCAACGGCAGCGGCAACGCAACGGCAAATCCAGCGGTCGCATCGCTTCCAGCCAGCATCCCAAGCGGGCGGCAACGGCGGGGTCAGCAGGGCTCACGGCCAGACCAGAAGCGGGTCATTCCAGTCCACAAGACTCAACGACACGTCCAGCGATTGCGTCGCGTTCGACAGGCAGCTCAAGCGTCGTCAACAGTACATCAACAGGGGCAAATCGCCGGCCCAGCCGTGCCGTCATGTCTGGCATCCTTGCGAGACGGCTATCAGGTAGGCCTTCAAACACCGTGGACGAACAGTGCCGGAAACAGCGACGGCGCGGCCGCCTGTGTAGGGGAAGGGGGAGGGGGGGGGGGGCTGGCGGTGCCCGGGAGCACGAGCCAATCTCCGGCCCGCAGCAGCACGCCAATTGGGCCGGCAGCGCGCACCCAACAGCCGGCGACTGTGGAGGGGTCGCTCGAAACGGAGCCTCTTCAGCCGGCCCACGCCAAATTACCTTGCTGAATATGCAGGAGCGCCTCCGGTGCCCTGGGAAATCAGGCACACGCCAAACCGAAATAGTGCTTTTAAGCGCAGCACTCAGCTGGGTGGGTGCCCCCGATAATTGGGCCACGCACAAATCACACACCAGCGAGAAAAAAAGTCAACCAGAATGTGCCGGCGCCAGCATCCGCACGAGGCGACACAATTCGACCCCGTCTCGTCTCTGCGGGAGCGGCGCCAGCGGAGCCGCCACTGACCTTTCGTCGCCCCTGAGTGCGCTCTGGATGGCCTCGGGCAGACTGGAGCGCAGCAGGTCGTGCGTGATGCCCGGAGAGCCACGACACAGTGTCGACAGCAGGCTGATGACGGTCGACAGCGACTGCGACGACTTGCTCTCGGGCGTTACCGACGGCGTGCCGGCTGTGGGCGCGGAGGCTCGGGTCAGAGCCTGCGCGCGGCCCTCACACAGGGGCCGGGCCCGCCGGCTGCGGCTGGGCCATCACGCGCGGCCTGCCCCACCGCTCCGGCCGGGCCACCACGCGCAATACTGGTACTGAGATCTGCTGCTACTCATACGCTGGAGTTTTCCCGGAAACACTCAACAAATAGCCCCCCGTCATCCCTGAGACTTCGCAGCCTCTCGCATAGCCCGCCTGCCCCGTTCTCACGTGCTCCCCCGCCCACGTCGGCGCGCCTCACAGCGGACGTCGGTCAGGCGGGGTGGGTGGGCCGACCGACCGACCGACGGTGTACTCACTGGCAGCTGCAGCGGCCGGCGGTCCGGCGCCCGGCTGGCCGACGGCGCGCAGCCGGGCCAGCAGCTCGTCCACCAGTCCGTGCTGGGCCAGCGGCGCCGGGTCGATGCCGCGCCGCGTGTACCGGTCGGCCAGCGAGGCGAAACAGCGCAGCGCCCCGTCCGCCACCTGTCGCGCACATGCGGCACCAGGTCAGCGGTCACTGGTCAGCGGTCAGGGTGATCACGGCGGCGGTCAACGCGGCCGCGGCGGCGGTCACGGCAGCGGTCAGCACCAAGGTCAGCCGACAGCAAGCGGCGCGGCTCGATGTGGCAACACACGAGCATTGTCAATACGCCGGCGCCGGTGTGTGCGCGTTGACATGATGTGGTAGTGGTAGATGAGTGGCGCTCGATGGTCAACAGGGCATGTCGGTTCCGGCCGCCATATCGGCCATATCAGCCCCAGAGGTGCTCCGAGGCTTGCGTTTGCATGAGATAAGGCGCGACATGCAAACACCAGTTCCCGCGTATGTGGTAAACCGCTGTGCAGGCACGGGTTGCAGGCCGCGCCGCCGTGTTTCCATCACGCATCTATGGACTGATGGAGCTAGACCACATCACGTGGAGAGGCCAATGTGACGTCACAAGCGACGGCAGCGGCAGGCCAGGACGGCGGCCGCGCGCGCTCCACACACCACGGCGTGACTAGACGGCCGGGATCTCGGCCCAGCCCGCACGCCGCCTACCAGCCCGACCCCACGCCGGCGCGCCGGCGGGGAGCCAGCTGATCAGCGGAGCGGGGCGCCGCCGGCGGGAGCAGCTGGAGGCGCGCCGGTCCACCACGACCGCCGCACGAGCGTGGCAACGGAGCGGCAAAGTGCCGGGGTGCCGATCAGACCGCCAGCGCACCCTGTTTGGTCGACACATACACGCACAGGGCGGGGCGGGGCGGGGCGGGGAGGGGGCAACGCGCCGCCGGCCCGCACGGCCCGTCTGTGCCGACGTCAGCGCCGAGCACACGGACAGCCCGGTCCGGGCAGGCAGCACCGCCACGGTGGCCGCCGGCGGCCGGAGCGAGCCAGCTCCAGCTCAGGGTCAGACTCCGCCCATCCACGAGATGGGCCAGGTACGGACCACTTAACGGCCCGCCTGACCTTCGGATTCAGTCCGTGTCACGCCGCAGTTTAATGCGAACGGCCCAGGCGGCCGTACTAAACAAACAGGTCTTCGTCCACGCCGCGATACAGATGCCTTTGTCTCAACACCCAGATCCCAGGCTCAATCGATACGTCGGCCTGCACATGTTTCATAATCAGGCCCCATCCATCTCGCTGGCGGAGCGGTACTAGGCCGAGTTGAATCGATCGCCGTTACCAGCCGGAAAGACCTCCCAGGCTAATGGCCCACACAACGTCCCGGCTCTCTCGCTCTCACCGCAAGCTCTAGGGGCGCGGCGCGAGTCCGGCCGGCTCGCGCCTTTCGTGCGCCGCTCTCCACCGCCGCCCGGCTCCGGCCCCGATCCGGGCCGGCCGGCGGACGCGCCACCGGCGACACTAAGGTGTGCCTCCGGCCGCCGGCCGTCTGGCACGACCCGGCGGCCAGGTTGCTGACGCCTTCGCGCGGCCGACCGTCGGCGATGGCGCGGCATCTCCCCGCACGTCACGCGGACACGCCGGGGTCGTGATGGGACTTCGGCGCCGGCATCGCGCGCGCGCGCTGCGATACGGCCGGCCGCGGTGTGGCACCAGTCACCGGCCGACCCGGCCCGTGCCGCTTCTGTGCCCTGCCCGTCACCGGCCGACCCGGCCCGTGCCGACCGACCCGGCCCGTGCCCTGCTGCCGCACCGTGCTACCATCGCCGGCCGCATGACACGGCCGGCCGCGGTGCGGCACCAGTCACCGGCCGACCCGGCCCGTGCCGCTTCTGTCGCCCCGCTGCCGCACCGTGCTACCATCGCCCGTCTGAGCGCTGTACCATTGCCAGCGGCGCCGCGCGTGACTGCTAAATAGAGCGCCGCCCGGGGCGCGACCGCGCCGGCGGCGGCGGCGGCGGCGGCGGCCACGGCCGGAGCGGGGCGCCGGCACGCGCGTGAGGCGGCAGGTCAGCGTGAGGCCGAGACGGGCTCGGTGCCGCGCTGCCGCCGCTGGCGGGTGCGCAGTTGGCGGCGCGGGCGGCACGCTCGGCTGGCTGACAAGCGGGAGCAGTGCATCGCTCGTCGGCGGCCGCGGCCGGGCCACTCAAGGCCACCACAGCCCTGACCCCCGCTGGCCGGCTCCCGACCGCCTGTGCGTCACGAGCGCGGCGCGTCACATTACTGCTCTCCTGAGGACCGCCGAGTTGGCGGGTCGCCAAACGTGGCCGCGTCGCCACCTGGCTCGTGGAAGGACTGCCCCAGCACGCACGGCTGAGTTGTCTGGGTTCACAGCGGCGGCGGCGGCGGCGGCGGCGGCGGCGGCGGCGGTTCGGCTCGCCGCCGAGAGCCCCTCGCGTACCGCAGTGGACGGCGGTCCGACGAGCTGCCCTGCGGCGGCGACCGGCGGCGGCGGCGTCCCGAGCGCCCTGGCGCCCGGTCCCCTCGGCGGAGGACCCGGGCGCCACTGCCGCCAGCGCTGGCGCTGGCGCTGGATGCCCCGCAGGCCAAATACGGAGTCGCCGGGCTAGCTTCCGTCCCCTGCCCGGCCGACACCACTGTAGCCGCAGCTGGCGGTATCGGTACAGCCAAACTGTTCGTCCAGCGCCCTTCAGCCGACCCAGTGCTGTGACCCAGCCGCGGCGGCGAGGGACGGCGCTACGCGATAAAAACTGCTCAGCTGGTGTCCCCCCTTCCCTCTACCACCGGATCGGTGAGGGGAGGGGAGGGGAGGCGAATCACGTGACTCCGCGGAGGTTGCGCCACGGCACGCCCAGACATGCCGTTGACGCGGCGCGTGACGAAGTGCCAGCCGAGGCAGCGTCAGCTGGGCGGCTGCACGGCCGGCCGGGACGTCAGGCGACGCGCCGCTCAGCAGCACGCAGGCCGCAGACGCACCGGGCGCCGGAGATCAATGCCGAGTGTGCCGGCGCCGCCGGCCGGGCCCGGGCCGGACTCGACGAGGCCGCGACGCCCGGGCGGCCGACATTCCGCGGCTGGCGGCCGACCCCCGGCGAGACGGCGCTCCCCGGACGGCAGCGCCGCACCGAGCGCCGGGCCTGGCTTTCACGCGCCGCCACCCGGCCGACCGGCGCCGACAGCTGGCCGCCCGCTTAGAAAGTGAGCGTGCGAGCGGCCGCAGTGCGACCCGGCGTCAGTGGACCGCTCCGGACGCCGGGTCACACCCTGCTCTGGCCACCGCCGCTCGGCCGCTCGGCCGCTGCCGGCCACCGCCGCTCCGCCGCTGATCGGCGAGGCCGGCTAACGGCCCCGCGACGTCTGCACGCACCTGGACGACCCGTCTGCGGTCCCCGGCGCCCCCCCCCCTCTCCCCCCCCCCCCCGGGGCGTCGGACCAGCGGGGCGCCGCCACCACCACCAAACTAAACAACGTCACGTGGGTGGTCAGGTGGTTACCCTCACGCCACGCTCAGCACACCACTCGTCGCTCAACAGCTATCCTCTATCAGTCATTACTGAGCTATCATCGCGAATCAAGCTATAGCGAGCTATACCGAACTGTACCAACAGCAGCACCGCTCCACAGTCGGATCATCGACGATGTGAGGGGTCCCACCCGTTCTCGGAGCCTGCCACAAAGGTTGCCTCCGATAAATTTCCACGGGAAGAATCGGGGTACGTTAGGTTCTATATTCTGGACAAAGCGAATTCGCTGTGGAGAGAACCACTCCCTGGGAAGCGAAACACATAAGTGTAAGCAGTGACAACCAAATCCCTCGCAATAAATACCATACTAATCGTTCGTTCCGCACAAAAGCGGCTCAGTCCTGCCACGAGTGACGCCACACCACAGCCTGTCAGCGCCGAAGCTGGCAACGGCCGCTGGCATCACGCGGCGGCGCGTGCGCCGCCCGACTCGTCAAGCCCCCACCGGCCGGGCAGGCGGCTGGCTCCGTTCGGCCGGTAGCGGGCAGGTGGCGCGCAAAACCCAGTTCCGCCACCCCCCGCCCCCTTCCCGTCGGGAGGCCCGCGGCGGCTCCGACGCCCGATCGCCCGGTCACCACGCGCTTCTCGACAGACAGTCAGTCGCGAGCGCGGCGACAGTCGGCCGCCGCGCGACACGCAGCGGCGCGGGGAAGCCAACGGTTCAGGGCCCGCGGCGTGATGCGCCGCGACTACCTGGCCTGGCCTGGTTGCCGGCGCCGGAGCAGCACATTCGCAAGGCGCCGGCGAGGAGACGCCGGAGCCGCCTGGCGCTCCGACAGACGGTCTCCGGCTTCTTTCCGGCTCTCCGCGCTTCCCGTCAGATGTGACAACTCTGATAGAGACGCGGCAGGTGTCCTGTCCGTTAGTCCCCCTCCCCCTCCCCCTCGCCCGCGCTCAGCGCCGCGCCGCCACGTGCCGCCAGCCGCGCCCGGCGGTTACCCGGCACGTGTTGGCGGCCGCGCGTGGGCCAGCCGACCGAACGACCAACCGGCCGCCGGGTGCTGCCCGCCTGCATAGCAGGGCGGGCTCCGTCTTCGGCTCGACGCGCACGAAAGCGCAGGTCGGCCGCAGACGGCGGCGGCGCTGGAGCAGGTGCGCGTCGAGCCGCACCCCCGCCACGGCCTATACCGACGGACGGCGGCTGCTCGCAAACGGGGCGGCGACGCCAGCAGCGGCGCGACCACGGATAGACCACCCGTGAGTCAATATCGCCACCGAACGAGCGCCGCCGGCCCCGCGCCCCAGACCCGTGAGTCCATATCGCCACCGAACGAGCGCCGCCGGTCCCGCGCCCCAGACTGCAGCATCACGCTGAGCCGCCGCGTCATGTGGCAAAGGTCAAAGCCATAGCCTTGGCTCGGCGCCGCGGATTGTATCGGCGGCGGGTGACGACTTCCGTGAGCCGAATGTGCCGAGAACGGGGTCGGCCGGGCGCACGGCTGAGCCGCCGTCCAGCGGCCCTGTTCGGGCGGCCGCCTCCGTGGCGCGGGCCGGCGCCACCTGCTCACCCTCGCGGTGAGGCGAGACCGGCGCGACTGGCACAGAAAAGGCGCCGCCGCCGCAGAGCTGACCCCGATCGGCGTCGGTGATCTGTAGCCGGACGTCGCTAATGGTGCAAGGGGGGGGGGGGGGAGGGGAGGGAGCGGCAGTGAGTAGGGACGACAGCGACGCGGTGGAGCCGCCTGTCAGCCTGCCCCGCCTCGCCGGCAGACGCCGCCGCCGTGGAAGTCCCACCGCTCGCCACGCACGGTCAAACTCATCTGGCCCCCAGTGCGTGCCAATCAATCGCCGACACTGTCATGCTTGAGCCGTGTCTCTCACCACCGCCCAGCAACGTTCCTGCGTGATACCCTCACTTGCAGACCCCCCTCAGACGCCGCCCTGCCAAACCCCTCGGTGCTCGTACAGCCAGCGCTCCTGACACCGATGTCTTTTACGCGGCAGCTGCTGCAGCGGACCGCCATCGGGCGTCAGCACCCATCCCCTGCTAGCCGGGGATGGCTGCTGGAGTTGCCGCTGGCCACCGGCCCCCGGCCCGGCGGGCGGTGGCCAGCGACCGCCGGCGTTACCGGCTGCTGCCGTGCGCCCAGACCGGGGCGCTGGTCGGCCCGTTACGACCCGGCCGCCGTCATGCACAGCGCGGTGCGGTTAACGGTGAGTCGGCCGCGGCGCGCAGGCCGGGTCGGGCCGGGTGACCGGCGGCGGCGGCGACCGACCTCGCTGGCCGGGTCGACCCACGGCCGGGGACACGGCTGGTGACACGGCCCGGTGACACGGCGGTGACACGGCACGGTGACACGGCTGGTGACACGGCCGGCGACACGGCTGGTGACACGGCCGGTGACACGGAGGCAGACACGTGTCCGATCGGCACTGACGATCGACATGACAGGCTTTCAGGGCAGTGACAAGAACAGACCAATTGCCTTGTTGCGGTCTAATAACTTGCTATAGAGGCCCTACGCATCTGATGCACATTGAAAAATTTCAATGCGTGGTGTTTCATGATCATGTCCTCAGTACCTCAGTATACAACGAGATCCCGCGCCTACGTGTGATGACGCAACGTTTCTTCTCGCGAGTTTCTGACGACATTACTCGCACGATTTGCGCAGCCCGTGGTTGTCTGCGGCCTGGATGTCATGCCCCCGCCCAGTGCTCCCTGTCGTAGTCCGATCTGCGGGTCGCTGACAATGGCTCATCCCGGAGATCAATTCGTCGGTGTGACACCACAGGGGCGGCCTGAGACCTGCCGCAGCCCTGAGAGGTGACGGAGAGCG